GCATGCGCCACCATGCCCAGCTAATTTTGTATTTTTAGTAGAGACGGGGTTTCTCCATGTTGGTCAGACTGATGTCAAACTCCTGACCTCAGGTGATCCACCCACCTCAGCCTCCCAAACTGCTGGGATTATAGGGGTGAGCCACTGCGCCCGGCCTCCCTATCACGTCTTTCTTTTTTTTTTTCTTTCTTTTTTTTTTAAAGATGGGGTTTCACCATCATGGCCAGGCTGGTCTTGAACTCCTGACCTCAGGTGATCCACCCACCTTGGCCTCCCAAAGTGCTAGGATTATAGGCGTGAGCTACCGCGCCCGGCCCACATCTTTCTAAATACAATAATTATACTTATTCTTAAGCTTCATCTTTTTTTCTGTTAGTTTTGTTTCCTTGGGTGTCACTTCTTTTTTGACATTGTGACCTATACCAGATCAGGTCTGTTGGTGCTTAGCCCTCCATTCACCTCTCCATAATCCCTTTTGTTTTCCTGAGCTTGATGCCTGAAATGACACATTCTACATTCCTTTGCCAGATGGGTACCAGTTAGGTTGTGCACATGGGAAACAACTGTGGAAAGACTGAAGTGGGGAAGAAGGGAGGAGTTACTGTGTTTCAGTGAGTGCCATTAGGGGTGGCAGTGACAGTGGCTGCTGTCAGTGGCAATGGTGGGGCAGCTAGCAAGACATGTGGTAAGCGCAGGCTCATAGGCTATGATCCAGGGACAGTCACCCATTCCTGGTCCTTAGGCAGTGCTATTTCCTTTTGCTTCTCCACCCTTCTGAAATTATTGTAACAAATTTCTTGGCTAGTACAATTTTTAGAGTGGTCCAGGGACATAGGCTTTCAAAAGTATACATGCAGCGTTGTCTACCTGCATTGACTGGGCTTGAATCATCATGGTGTTCTGGCCGGTGGAAGGAGGTGACAGTCCAAAGCATGCAATGGCAAACCAGATACTTAAATTATCATCCGAGATACCCTGGAAGAAGTGCAGCTGCAACCATGTCTTCAGAAGAGATAAAGAAATGTTCTCCTGGCTGGGCATGGTGGCTCATACCTGTATTCCCAGCACTTTGGGAGGCTGAGGCGGGTGGATCACCTGAGGTCAGGAGTTTGAGACCAGCCTGGCCAACATGGAGAAACCCCATCTCTACTAAAAACACAAAATCAGCTGGGTGTGGTGGCGCATACCTGCAATTCCAATCTTGGGAGGCTGACGCAGGAGAATTGCTTGAACCCGGAGAGGCGGAGGTTGTGGTGAGCTGAGATCGTGCCATTGCACCCCAGCCTGAGCAACAAGTGAGAAACTCCATCTCAAAAAACAAAAACAAAAACAAACAAAAAAGAAATGTTCTCTTTTCTTGCCATGTCCAGGGATTTGGGGATGGCGTAGATTGCTGCCGGGCACGTGGTCTCTACCACCTTGCTCCAATCTTCTGCATTATTATCTTGCTTGGTTACTTCAGTTAAAATTATTTTTAAAAATAATAAGCAAAAATATATGGCAATACTTAACCATACTTAAGAGAAAGTACATGGTTTGGCCTGTTTCAGTATCCCAACTCACACACTAACAAGAGCTTGAACTGTAGCTACAGCACCCTGGAGGAAACGATTTATTTGCATTTATTTGGTTATTACAGTCTAGGTAGTAATAGTTCTGTCCTGGGAAAAAGACTAGCCTCAAGGCATTTCTGACTGAACATTTTTCAGTTACAGTCTTTAACCGGTAAGCCACAGAACTGCCTCTTTCTACATGACAGCCTTTGTGGTGGATGGCAGATTTCCCTGAGGCCTTACAAAATGACAGTCTTTCACAATGTCACTGGCTGACAGCCACAGCCAGACCCAGCACAGTCTTGGTGTGGTTTTGGGGCTAAAGTTATTCCACCTTGTGCAATAGATAAAGCCTGCTCTAGCCAGCTGCATTCTTATAAGGTTAGAAGAAAATACTTTTTCTTTTTTTGAGACGGAGTCTCACTCCGTTCCCCAGGCTGGAGTGCAATGGCTTGATCTCAGCTCACTGCAATCTCTGCCTACCTGGTTCAAGCGATTCTCCTGCCTCAGCCTCTGGAGTAGCTGGGACTACAGGCGCATACCACCACACCTGTCTACTTTTTTTGAATTTTTAGTAGAAATGAGGTTTCACCATGTTGGTCAGGCTGGTCTCAAACTCCTGACCTCAGATGATCTGCCCGCCTTGGCCTCCTAAAATGCTGGGATTATAGGCATGAGCCACCATGCCTGGCCAAAGAAAATACTTTTTATGCCAACCCTGAGTCACATACATCAACCTTGAGGCCTCACAGTCCATCAGGAGGGGTGAAGGACGTGGGGAATTAGAAAGCATATGGATTTTGTCATTAGACAGATCTGGTTCAAATCTCAGATTTGTGCCTTAAACAAATTACTTACCCTCATTGAACTCTAGATTCCTTATCTGTAAAATGAAAGACAATAATAGTTATCACCAAAGGGAAATGGAATATGGTCATTCATTTATTTACTAATTCAACATTTATTATTGCCTACTTTGTGCAAAATTTCTGCTGTACTGAAGTTTACATTTTTTTTTTGGAGACAGAGTCTCGCACTGTTGCTTGGGCCGGAGTGTGCAGTGGCACGATCTTGGCTCATTGCAACCTCTGCCTCCAGGGTTCAAGGGATTCTCTTGCCTCAGCCTTCCGAGTAGCTGGGAGCTACCATGCCCAGCTAATTTTTTGTATTTTTAGTAGGGGTGGGGTTTCACCATGTTGGCCAGGCTGGTCTCAAACTCCTGACCTAGTGATTTGCCCACCTCGGCCTCCCAAAGTGCTGGGATTACAGGTGTGAGCCACCATGCTGGCCATTTTTTTTTTTTTTTTTTTTGAGACAGAGTTTTACTCTTGTCACCCAGGCTGGAGTGCAGTGGTGCGATGTCGGCTCACTGCAGCCTCTACCTCCTGGGTTCAAGTGATTCTCCTGCCTCAACCTTCCAAGTAGTTGAGACTGCAGGCATGTGCCACCATGCCCAGCTATTTTTGTATTTTTAGTAGAGATGGGATTTCACCATTTTGGCTAGGCTGGTCTCGAACTCCTGACCTCAGGTGATCTGCCTGTCTCAGCCTCTGAAAGTATTGGGATTACAGGTGTGAGCCACTGCACCTGACCTGAAGTTTACATTCTAATAAATAGCAACAGACAGTAACACAAACCAAAAATAAATAGGAAACACTATAACAAATGAAACAATGATGTAATTGACAGTTGCTTCTGTTCCTCTTTGTTTTCTTCTTGGTTCAATCAGCCTGCTAAACTATATGGAACCTCATTTTCATGGGCCACTTATATAAGCTGGGGGCCCTTGGAAAGTCTCTCATGTCTCTAATCTCAGTGTCCTAATGTGACTTCTCTAGAAATATTTGGACATTAGCAGGAGGCCAAGGCTTTAGATCAGCTCTTTACTTTAACAACGGTGGACTTGACTTTCCTGGTAGAATTTAAGGCTCTGCATGGACTGTGGAGATGATATTTGGGGGCAGGCAGACACTTGCCCTGCCCCTGCCTGGGAAAATTCTGTTTTGGATGTCTTGTTGAAGTTGTTGCTGGCGTCCCAAACCCTTGCTGGGGTCATAATTTAATTCATCAGAATGTGTGGCTTGCAAGAACCGCCTCTGATCCTTCCCTTCAAACACAAAACGTGAGTGTGCCAAGAAAGTCCAAGGTGTTGAATGTTGCCACTTCAACCCTAAACTTTCTAGGAACACGTAAGTCGGTGGCAGCTTCCAGTCCTCCAGGCTGCTTCTAGGCCAGAGCTGGGATCCACAAGAGGCAGAGTAGGCATATACATGCTTAAGGAACTGGCAAAGCAGGTTCTCTCTCTCTTTCTCTCTCTCTCTCTCTCTCTCTCTCACACACACACACACACACACACACACACACACACACACACCCCGAGGTAGCTCTCAACATGTTCTCCTAAATGTTGGAACCAAAAAATCTTGAAAGATGATATTTCAATGTCACATTTTGTGTAAGTTTTTGATTATATTAGATTCGAGTTACAATTCGAGGCCACAGGCTTTTAAATTCAGGGCCTTTTTAACTTGCCAAGTCCCACACCACTCCCCACACCCCAGTTCTCAGAATTCATTCACAAGGTCTTTCCTAAATCCAGGGTCCAGGACAGAGAGTGGAGGATGTGTTCTATTTCTTTCTTTCGGTTTTTGAGATGGAGTCTCACTCTGTCATCCAGGCTGGAGTGCAATGGCATGATCTCAGCTCACTGCAATCTCCATCTCCCGGGTTCAAGGAATTTTCCTGCCTCAGCCTCCCAAGTAGCTGAGACTACAGGTGCCCACAACCACATTTGGCTAATTTTGTGTCTGTGTGTGTGTTTGTGTGTTTTTAGTAGAGACGGGGTTTCACTGTGTTGGCCAGACGTATCTCGAACTGCTGACATCGTGATCCTCCTGCCTGGGCCTCCCAAAGTGCTGGGATTATAGGCGTGAGCCACTGCACCCAGCTGGATGTGTTCTATTTCTTCCCTATTGCAGTCCCCTCTGACAGTTCTCCCTTCTGAAGCACTCACTGTCTGAACTTACACAGACTCACACTTCGTCATGCACAATGAGCAAGACTGTGATGTGATCATTCGTGTCCCTGACTTATTAGGGCACATCTGTGGGAGGGAGAGGCCTCCTGGACCACTGAGCAATTCATTTACATTAGGAAGTTTCTCTCTCAGATGCAGAAAAAACATCTTGTTTTCCTGCTGTGGTCTTGACCCTTGTCCCACCTTCTCTTGCTGTTGTAGGGAGCAAAATAAGGGCCAAGGCCTGAAACAGAAGTGCTTTGACTGAAGCTCCACTTGGCTTCCCAAGCCCAAGCTGGGTTGCAGCAGGCTACCTAGGGTGGAGGCTGTGGGCAGCTGCCAGGTACATGTGCCTGCCCACTGGCCCCTGGCCCTCACTGCATTGGCCAATGGGAAAGGACGATTGTGAGGTGGGGACTGCTTGCCCCCATGAGTACCAGGCTGTCGAGGCTGGGTCATCTCCTCCTCACTTCCATTCCGACTGCAGTCTGTGCTTGCGATCCATAGCGGAGGGTAAGAGCAATTCTATGAACTTCCAGGCTGGGTGGGGGATGCCATGCATAGCCTCTGGCTGGCTCACCTGTCCATAGCAGGGTGGGGGTGGATACAGGCAAACCTCTGGCCAGGGCAGCACTAGTGGAGGCAGATATGCACGAGGCTTCTTCCTCAATTCTCCCACAGCTCCAAGAGAGAAAGGGTTATTTCAGACATTCCTTCCAAGATGCCTGGAATAATCCTTTTGAATTTTGCCCAGTTCACTCTGTGGCAGGATGCCTACTTAGAAAAAGTTAGGGTCAGTGAGGTGGGAGGTGTGTCCATAGATGAAGTCCAATTTGATTAAGGGGGATAAGGGAATACATTGTCTTTTAGCTTGACCAGGTAGGGCGAAGGAAGAAGCTTATGTGAAGGCAGCGTGAGAAAAGCCAAGCTGAGCACTGACTTCAGACCAGCATTTGGAATCCGGCTCTGCCACTTTATTCTATTCAGCAAATATTTACTGAGCAGATTCTATGGGCCAGACACTGGGTTGGGTTCACGAGATGCAATGATGAGTGTGACATGACTGTTGTCTATAGATTTGGGGATATCTATAGGTATGGGGTTATCTTACAGGGTCATCAAGAGGATCTAAGGAGGCTGGGTGCAGTGGCTCACGCCTGTAATCCCAGCACTTCGGGAGGCTGAGGTGGATGGATCACCTGAGGTTAGGAGTTCTAGACCAGCCTGACCAACACGATAAAACCCTGTCTCTACTAAAAATACAAAAATTAGTCGGGCATGATGACAGGCGCCAGCAATCCCAGCTACCGAGGAAGCTGAGGCAGGAGAATTGCCTGAACCTGGGAGGTGGAGGTTGCAGTGAGCTGAGATCTCAGCACTGCATTCCAGTCTCGGAGACAGAGTGAGACTGTGTCAAAATAAAGAAAGAAGGCCTAATGAGATAAAATGAGAAGACCCTGGCATATAGTGGGAACTTAGGAAAAATCGTAATTAAAAAAACATTTTCTGACAGAAGAAACCAGATCGATCTGGTTTTTGTGACGCCTAATGCCATTCGTCCCAGTGAATGCTGTTTCTGAGGCATCCTGGTAGTTCTGAGCTGTAGATGCTGAAGGGCAGAGTGGGAGGGATTTGAGAGGTTTGGTCAGCCCCTCTCCTCTTGTGTTTGAGGACATGGATCCCTGTTCGGGGAAGTTCTGGTTTTTGGATCAAGCCTCGCAAGGGGTGACACCAACTCACTCTTAGGGACTTTGACAGAAGGAAGGCCAGCTCCACCTAATTAGGTTGGGGAGATAGGGGTCCCTTTATGCTAGCAGAATATGTCCAAAGGAGCATGATGGAGTCAGCTTGGTTCAGCAAGGCCAAGGCACAAAGGGAGCCCTGCAGCTTCCTCAGCTGTCCCTGCTGCTGCCCTTCCTTCAGTCTTGAGGAGCCTTAAGGATAGACACAGACTGGCTCCTTGTCGTTTTTTTTTTTTTTTTTTTTTTAGAGATGGAGTTTCACTCTTGTTGCCCAGGCTGGAGTGGAATGGCACAATCTCGGGTCACTGCCACCTCTGCCTCCTGGGTTCAAGCAATTCTCCTGCCTCAGCCTCCCAAGTAGCTGGGATTATAGGTATGCACTACTACAACCATCTAATTTTGTATTTTTAGTAGAGACAGGGTTGAGTTCACGAGATACAATCATGAGTGTGACATGACTGTTGTCTATAGATTTGGGGATATCTGTAGACAGAAGTCCAGAACATTGGGAACTCCATGTTGGTCAGGCTGGTCTGGAATTCCCGATCTCAGGTGATCTGCCCTCCTTGGCCTCCCAAAGTGCTGGAATTACAGGCATGAACCACGACGCCCAGTCTTTTCTTTTGTTTTTTTTTTTTTGAACAGGGTCTCCCTCTGTTACCCAGGCTGGAGTGCAATGGCACGATCTCGGCTCACCGAAACCTCCGCCTCCTGGGTTCAGGCAATTCTCCTGCCTCAGCCTCCTGAGTAGCTGGGTTGCAGGCACGTGCCACCATGCCCAGCTAATTTTTTTTTGTATTTTTAGTAGAGACGGGGTTTCACCATGTTGACCAGGATGGTCTCCATCTCTTGACCTCGTGATCCACCTGCCTTGGCCTCCCAAAGTGCTGGGATTACAGGCTTGAGCCACCGCGCCCGGCCTTCAATCAAGAATTTCAATCAGAAACTCCTTCATGTGGAGAGAGACTTATCCTAAAAATGTGGTGGGGGGATGCTCTCCTGTATTAGTTCCTTGAGAATTTGTGTGTGTGTGTGTGTGCTTATGTGGATGGGCATGTCTGTGTGTGTGGGGGGGTGGTGCATATGTCTGTGGATGTGTGGGTGTGGTGTGTGGGTGTGCCTGTGCCTAGGTGGAGGTGTGTGTATGGGTGTGGGAATGCACATGTGTGTGTGTGCGCTCATGTGGATGGGCATGTCTGTGGGTGTGCGGGACAGTGCATATGTGTATGGATGTGTGGGTGTGGTGTGTGGGTTTGCCCATGCCTAGGCGGAGGTGTGTGTATGGGTGTGGGAATGTGTGTGTGCGTGTGCTCACGTGGATGGTTGTGTATGTGTGTGTGTGGGGGTGCATATGTGTGTGGATGTGTGGGTGTGGTGTGTGGGTGTGCCTGTGCATAGGTGGAGGTGTGTGTATGGGTGTGGGAATGTGTGCGTGTGTGTGTGTGCGCGCTCATGTGGATGGGCATGTTTGCGTGTGGGGGTGGTGGTGCGTATGTGTGTGGATGTGTGGGTGTGTTGTGTGGGTGTGCCCGTGCCTAGGTGGTGGTGTGTGTATGGGTGTGGGAATGTGTGTGTGTTTGCATGCTCACGTGGATGGGCGTGTATGTGTGTGTGGGGGTGGTGCATATGTGTGTGGATGTGTGGGTGTGGTGTGTGGGTGTGCCTGTGCCTAGGTGGAGGTGTGTGTGTGGGTGTGGGTATATGTGTGGGTTAGGCATGGAGATATTGACAGCTCTCTCAGGGCTGAGTGAAGGCTCTCAGGCAAAGCTCCTCGGAGCTAGGCAAAGCTGAGTTGATTCCTGGTTATGCCATTTATTATTGGGTTGCACCATGTGAAACTGCCAATGTTTTACATTTTGACTTTTATTTATTTATTTATTTATTTTTTTGAGGTGGAGTTTCACTCTTGTCACCCAGGCTGGAGTGCAATGGTGTGATCTTGGCTCATTGCAACCTCTGCCTCATGCGTTCAGTGATTCTCCTGCCTCGCCCTCCCAAATAGCTGAGATTACAGGCACCTGCCACTACACCTGACTAATTTTTATATTTTCAGTAGAGACAGGGTTTCACCGTGTTGGCCAGTCTGGTCTCGAACTCCTGACCTCAGGTGATCTGCCTACCTTGGCCTCCCGAAGTGCTGGGATAACAGGTATGAACCACTGTGTCCAGCCCATTTTGACTTTTAAAAATGTCAGTTACATGCAGTTCAACCCAGTGGTTGAATTAGCTAGCATCTTTTGCTCTCCAAGTCTCAGGTTCTCCTACACATCAGAGTCAAAAGCAGGGCTAAGGGAAGATTCAGTGAAATAAGTTTTGAAAATGCCTATGAAAATTACACTACAAGGAACTCTTGCCAATGTCGGTGTTCTCTTGTTCCTCATCTCACATGATCCTGTTTAGCAGATTAGGAAGCTGAGTCTGAGAAGCTCCGTGTAATGTTTTCGGAGGCACTGTGATGTGATGGAAAGCTCACGGGTTTGGGAGTCAGAACAGAGTCTTTCTTAATTACTCAGTTTCCTCATCTCTGAAGTTGAGGTCATTTTCCTTCCTTCATGGAATTATTGTAAGATGAAAATAAATAATATGTAAAATCTAGCATGGGAGCTGGCTTCTCTAAGGTTCTAATAATTTCACTCCTACTTCTTCCCCTCAGATTTCCCATTTGTAAAAGCAAAGCAGGGGTGAGGTGATTTTGGGGGTCCCTTTTGGTTCCGACACTTGAGGATTTTGTATGCTTTTATTTTTTTTTGAGACAAGAGTCTTGCTCTGTTGCCCAAGTTGGAATGCAGCTCACTGCAAATTCTGCCTCCCAGGTTCAAGTGATTCTCCTGTATCAGCCTCCTGAGTAGCTGGGATTACAGGCAGGCATCACCACCCCCAGCTATTTTTTTTTTTGTATTTTTAGTAGAGACGGGGTTTCACCATGTTGACCAGGATGGTCTCCATCTCTTGACCTCGTGATCCACCTGCCTTGGCCTCCCAAAGTGCTGGGATTACAGGCTTGAGCCACCGCGCCCGGCCTTCAATCAAGAATTTCAATCAGAAACTCCTTCATGTGGAGAGAGACTTATCCTAAAAATGTGGTGGGGGGATGCTCTCCTGTATTAGTTCCTTGAGAATTTGTGTGTGTGTGTGTGTGCTTATGTGGATGGGCATGTCTGTGTGTGTGGGGGGGTGGTGCATATGTNTTTTTTTGTATTGTTGGTAGAGACTGGATTTCACCATATTAGCCAGGCTGGTCTTTAACTCCTGACCTCATGTGATCCATTCATCTCAGCCGCCCAAAGTGCTGGGATTATAGGCGTGAGCTACTGTGCCTGGCCAGTTCTGTGTGCTTTCATGACCTTTTCTGCTGGAGGAGTTGGCACCAGGTCTGGTGACCTCTTTCCCCCATATAGCTCTGCCTCCTGCCGGTCCCAGATGGGGCCCTGTCCCTGCATTTCACAGGATTCTGCTGTTGCAACTGAAATTCCAGTAGGTCAAAGTGAAATTTCTCATACATTTTAACATGAAGATAAATGATCACACTATGGCCCTGTAGGGTCCCAAGAACATCATGGTCATCCGCTTATGTAATTTTAAAAGCAAAAAAATCCATGCAAGTGAGGGGTTTGCCAGGAAAGCCAGTGCAGGACAAAGCCAGTACAGCAAATTGGACTTCAAATCGTACCTCTGCCCTCTTTTACTTGTTATCTTTGGGCAGAATTTACTGAACCTGTTTGGTCCTTGGATTTCTTCTGTAGGAATTGGGTCTTACCTCCCAGAGTTGTGTGGTCAAATTGAGGTTAAAGGGATGATGGCAGCTGGGTGCAGTGGCTCATGTCTGTAATCCCAGAACTTTGGGATGTTGAGGCGGGCAGATCACCTGAGGTCAGGAGTTCAAAACCAGCCTGACCAATATGGTGAAATCCCATCTCTACTAAAAATACAAAAATTAACCGGGTGTGGTGGCGGGTGCCTGTAGTTCTAGCCACTTGGGAGGCTGAGACGGGAGAATTGCTTGAACCTGGAAGGCAGAGGTTGCAGTGGGCCGAGATCGTGCCGCTATACTCCAGCCTGGGTGACAGAGTGAGACTCCATCTTGACAATAACAACAGCAGCAACAACAACAACAACAAAGGGATGATGGCTATATAGCAGTGGTCCATGCACATTTGCTTGCTTCCGTTCTCTTTTATAAACTTATGTGTGGAGCACTTTATAAGTTTATAAAATACTTCATACTTCTATCAATTGGCTTTCACAGTGATATGAAGGAAGGAAGGAAGGAAGGAAGGAAGGGAGTGTAACGAAGTGTAACAATGGCTGTATCTGAAACATACAGATATTTTTAGATGTTTGTCATTTTATATACATGACCCCAACTTCAGAGATGAGGAAACTGAGAGACTCTGTTCTGATTCTCAAACCTGTGAGCCTTCCATCACATCACAGTGTCTCCAAAAGTGTTAACGTGGAGCGTCTCAGACTCAGCTTCCTAATCTGCTAAATGGGATCATGTGAGATGAGAAACACGAGAACACTGACATTGGCGAGGGTTCCTCAGAGTGTAATTTTCATAGGCATTTTCAAAACTTATTTCACTGAATCTTCCCATAGCCCTGCTTTTGACTCTAACATGTAGGAGAACCTGAGACTTGGAGAGGGCAAGATGCTAGCGATAGAGCAAGACTCCGTCTCCTAATAAATAAAAAATAAAAACAGAACACAAATAATTTTGAAATAATTTTTTAAAATTAGGTACATCTGCACTGATCTTCAGTTGTTATTAATTGCTGATTTTTCATCCAGAATTAAGTTAGAATGCAACCTTCTTTTTCAATCAGGATCCATACTTAGTCTCAGAAGTTTCTGAGACTCCTGTGCTTATTCCCACTCTTGTATTTTCAGCACTTCTACCCCATGCCATTGTCATGGAACTCAGACTGATTGCTCCTATTTGTGGAGAAATCTGTCCATAATACTGAAGTGTTGGGGACAAAGTGTGTTCCCTTAGGGTAGGAGAAAGGGGTCTTTGTTTTAACAAGGAGGGAGGAACCAGAAAACTCTAGAGACCTCTGACTTTGCCGTCTCTCCAAGGTTTGTGTAAACCCTTACTCACCCTTTATCTTTGGGGCCTTCCTTAGCTGCCTCCACCAGTTCACGTATTCTGGATTCTCTCCTCCTGTTTCCCAGTGGAAAAGGACAGAGCGTCATAGATTCTTCCCTTTTTGGGAGAAAGACATGCATGGAGCTCAAAGTTCTCAGGAGTTTTATTGCTAAAGCCATAATAAGAAAGGGCGGAGGTGACAAGCAGTGAGAAAGTTTAAAGATGCGTGAAATCTTTAAAGTCTCAGAACAAGAATTCTCCTTAAATACCAAAGCAGCTTTGCTGGTCTCTCCTTGGCTTCTCAAGCAGCTCACCTCTTTTTTCTTATCTTGAGCTTAATCAAGCCTAAGCTGTTCCTCATTTTATTTCCAGCAGCTATTGAGAACACTCTCCTGAACTCTTCAAATCAGTAGAGGGCGACAAATGTACGTAAATGACAGGAGTGGGTCTTAAAGACTCACGACACCTTCGGGGCAGCGGCTCAGCCTGATTGCACCTGTTTCTGTTGCTGTTTCTGTGTCTCTTCTCCTCTCTGTCTGCCATTTCATTCTCAATTGTTACTTTACTCATAAGATCATATTAGAGCCTGATATTTGATAAACGATGCATCAGATCTATAGCGAGAGAAAAGATTAATGCAATTAAAGATGTTGTAACAGGTAGTTTTCAAGTGGGGATAAATCCTGTGAGTACTTTAGGTCACACATCAAAACAAAAAAGTCAGAGTTACATTACAGAGTGAAATTTTAACTATACCAAACAATAGAAAAAAAACAGGAGAAAATGGAATACTTACCAAATATTAGCATGAATAAGAACTGTTTGACATTTAGAGGCAAGGATCAGGGATGGTGGCTCATACCTTTAATCCCAACACTTTGGGAGGCCGAGGCAGGCGGTCACCTGAGGTCAGGAGTTTGAGACTAGCCTGGGCAACATCCGAACTGGGTCCTAAAGGCTGAATAGAGATTAGACAGGGGAGGAGGGGCAGCTAAAGGTGGCCCAGGCAAACAAAGGGTCAGTGGATGTCTTCATGGGACAATGTGTCTCTCGTTACCTGTTTAACTCAAGGTGAGGCTGTGTGTGAATGTGTACGTGTGTGTGTGCGCGCGTGCGTGCAAGTGTAATATACTAAATGGTCAATCATGTGCCCCAGGAGAGGGGTAAAGGAAGACAAAGAATAGGAAAGTAAGAAGGAGGAATAGACACAGAAAATGAGAGAGAAGGAGGGAAAGGAAAAGAAGAAAGGAGCCGGGGAGAGAAACTGGTTAGCTTTGAATGGAGCAATCTGGGTCATCATTCTTGGGAAACTCAAGGATGCATTCTTAGCAATTTGACTCTTGGAGCTTTCCCTGTGCCTGGTCCTGTGCCCAGATATGGAGAAATTAGAGGAGTGTCATCCGTGCTATCACTGAATTCATAATCCTGGTGAGGAAAGGAGACCACACAGGGAATAATAGGAAGTATTACAAATTTCGGGGCAGAAAGAGATCAAGGTGGGCTGCAATATTCAGAAAAGTCTTCCTAGAAGAGTTAAGTGCTGAGGAAGCAGTTCGTAGAAGTGGACTCTGGTGAGATGGATGGAGTCCTGTGTAGGTGCCAACTGGGTGTGCTGTGCAGAGTCTGTCTCTCCCTGGCTGACAGTGCACATGTGAATTCCAGGGCTCAGAATGCTGTTGCTGGGAGCTGTTCTACTGCTATTAGCTTTGCCCATTCATGGCCAGGATACCACAGAGGAAGAGCCCGGAGTCCTGCTTCCTCCACCCAAGGGGGCCTGCACAGGTTGGATAGCGGGCATCCCAGGGCATCCAGGCCATAATGGGACCCCAGGCCGTGATGGCAGAGATGGCACCCCTGGCGAGAAGGGTGAGAAAGGAGATCCAGGTAAGAATTTTTGACCTCTTTTATCACAGACTTCCTGGATTGATATAAACTATATGAAGGTATTCGTTATTAACTAAGGCCTAGACACAGGCAGGAAGTAAAGCTTTTTTAATGTAAACCATAAGCAACCTGAAGTGGATTTCGGGTTGGTCTTCCAAGGACGAGAATAGGCGGTGCCTCTATAACCAAGACTTTGACTTTGTTGCATCTGCATCTCCCTTCACCGTCCCCTTTCCTATCTTCACCCTCATCCCTATTCCGAATACGTTCATATTCTGGTTCCTCTTTCTATCTATTTAATTTCCATTCCATCCAGTGGCATTCAACCACACTCACTATAGGCCCCCTCAAGGGCACAGTCCGGCCTTTGGGAAACTCTGTCTTGATCTAGTTAAAATGTCTCGATCTAGTTATGATGTGCAAGGCTCTGTTGGTGGTTACTACAAGAAAGTCTACTCTAAAAATGTCAAAGCTGAATGTGAACAAGTACTTAAAGTATAGAGCATGGAGAAAGTGTGCTCACTGATGACCTGGATGAAGAATAAAAGCTTCAAGGAGGAGGCAGAGCTTCAGCTAGGCCTTGAACGATGGGTAGGCAGAATAGAGGAGGAGAGACATCCTAGATGAAGGGGACAGAGTTGCAAAACCAAGGTTGATAGTGCCAGCACATAAAGGGCTGGCAGGGTGGAGGGCCTGTGAGAGAGACCTATAGGAGATAAAGATGGAGATGCATTTATGGGAGCCTGCCTGTCTGTGGGAGGTGTAGTAGGAGGAAGTAATCTCTCTCCCCTTTTGGGAGCTCTTATTGATTTCTTGCTCTGTAAGTCAAGCAGGTTGTGAGTGGGAGTCACAGGGACGGTACTTTAGGCTGTAACCAACCTAGGCAGGAGTTCTGTTCTCTGTGGTCACTGAGGTCTTCTTATTCCTTAGGTCTTATTGGTCCTAAGGGAGACACCGGTGAAACTGGTGTAACTGGGACCGAAGGTCCTCGAGGCTTTCCAGGAATGCAAGGCAGAAAAGGAGAACCTGGAGAAAGTGCGTATGTATACCGCTCAGCATTCAGTGTGGGATTGGAGACCCGGGTTACTGTCCCCAATGTGCCCATTCGCTTTACCAAGATCTTCTACAATCTGCAAAGCCACTATGATGGCTCCACTGGAAAGTTCCACTGCAACATTCCTGGGCTGTACTACTTCTCTTACCACATCACAGTCTATATGAAGGATGTGAAGGTCAGCCTCTTCAAGAAGGACAAAGCTATGCTCTTCACCTATGACCAGTACCAGGACAAGAATGTGGACCAGGCCTCTGGCTCGGTACTCCTGCATCTGGAGGTGGGCGACCAAGTCTGGCTCCAGGTGTATGGGGAAGGAGAGCATAATGGACTCTATGCTGATAATGTCAATGACTCCACCTTCACAGGGTTTCTTCTTTACCATGACACCAACTGAATCCACTAACTCAGAGCCTCCTCCAGGCCAAACAGCCCCAAAGTCAATTAAAGGCTTTCCGTACAGTTAGGAGATTGATTATTATTTAGTCGAAGGCCTTTGAATATTATTCATTCATTTACTCATTCGTTTGTTCATTCATTCATCAAGTAACTTAAAAAAAATCATATGCTATGTTCCCAGTCCTGGAGAGCTTCACAAACATGACCAGATAACTGATGAGAAAGAAGTAGTTGACAATGCTGTTTTGTGCCCACTGTCTCTCCCGATGCTCATGTCAATTCTGTAAGGCACTGGGAACAAGCATTCTCCTGGTTTTACAGATTGGGTTGAGGCTGAGAGAGTTAAGTGAATGTCTCAGGTCACACAAGTATTAAGTGACAGTGCTAGAAATCAAACCCAGAGCTGTGGACTTTGCTCACTAGACTGTGCCCTATTGTAGAAGTACATGGTCTCTCTGGAGTGTTGGTAGCTGCCTGTTGCCCACCTCACCTGAGAGCCATTGAATTTGCCTTTCTCATGAATTGAAACATCCCCCAAGCAGAGCTCCCTCAGAGAAAGTGGTTGTGATGAAGTCTTGTCCTAGAAGGACTGCTACTCAATGGCCCCTGCGCTAGTCTATTTCCTCTTACCTGTGTCCCTTATGCTCTTCCCTCCAACTTGGAAAGCCAACTGCATCTCAACGTGCTGAACTCCTCCTTGCTCCTCAAGACCACCTGGCCAGGAGCTTCT